AGGGCCTGGATCTTTTAACTCCCCGATGAGCAAGGCTGTCAGTGGTTCTTTCTTCCGAACTTACAAACAAGCACTAGCGGTCTCAGTTTCACAGCATCGGCTAACATCAGTTTACCATCGAAAAAAATGAATGAGTTATGGTGGGATTGGTTGCCCAACTGGCGCGGTTATAAAGCGCGGAGGATTGATGGAGGGCGCGGTTGGAAGGCGCTCCTGTATGGGTGTGGTAAACACTCAAGCAAATCAACAAACAATGCTTTAAAAAAGCACACAAACAGAAACAAATCGGGAAGCCGCTGAAAGCCGCTGCCACACGGAACGCGCAATACATAAGGGCCAGGGACAGGAGTGACAACAGCTCCAAGCTGCTACCGCACAACACTCACGAAAAAAAGTGGGTTACAAAAAAACAATAGCCAGTTTCATTCCTGGTCACATTATTATGCGTTTTTGCTGTGCAGCGTTATAGCAGCGCTGCTGCCAGCAAATACGCATATTGTCGAGAGGCTGTCTGTGTTTGCGTTCAGAAGCGAGTGCATTTTGTCACCCACCTTCGTCTCAGCAACCAGGAAAGCTGGGAGGCTGAAACTGTGGGTATATGTTCCAACCCCGTGTGTCATCCTCCCATTTCAAGATATTCCCCCACACGCGCCTAGGCCTCGCGCACGGGTCCCCCAAAAAAATATGTTGGCGAGAAAAGATTTCGCGAACCAGGCAAGGTAGAAAGCTGAAACTTTGCAGGAATATTATCTGTGCACGTGCGAGCTAAAGGTTTTAAACTCAGCTATCGAGCACCCCAACCACAGCCTCAAGTAGCTCTCCAACCCAAAAATCGTTAGGAAATCCATCGCAACCCGGACCCGAACCCCAGTCGTATATGTAAATGAATATTAATTAATTTACAGAAATGGATTTTTTGACAAACGACCGCTCGAGCAATACTTTCAATTTTTAGTGAACTGGAAATTTGCATTTTTTAAAAAAATTTGCATTTGTCATTTTTATGCGTTTTTGCCTATATGCAAATTGCAAAAACGCATATTGG